ATTTTACATCTATTGGCTTGCCTTAATCTACCAACAGGAATAATAGGTAAGCTGAATTCTATAATGGCTGCCTTCATTTGGTCTAATAAGCCTGGAGTAAGGAAAATACATTGGTCCTCTTGGAAATGAGTTGGAGGAAGTGTTAGTGAGGGAGGAGACTACTTGGAGGCAGAAGACAAGAATCAAATGGGTTAAAGGTGACTATAGTACTAAGTTTTTCCATAAAATGGCAGTTGGTAGGAGGGGAAGGAATGTTATTAGAGAATTAGAAACTAAGACAGGGGATGTTGTGACAGATTCATTGTTGATTGCTAAGGAGATAACAGAGTTTTATAAAGGATTATCTACTAAGGATTACTGTGTTAGGCCAACTATTGAAGGTATTGATTGGAACCCTATATCATCTGATAGGGCGAGTTGGATTGAGAAACCTTTTGAGGAGGAGGAAATTAGAAAAGTTGTTTTTGATATGGATAAGGAAAAAGCTCTAGGTCATGATGGTTTTACTATGGCTTACTATCAGAATAGTTGGGATACTATTAAGAGTGATCTTATGTGTGTATTCAATGAGTTTTTTGCAAATGGGATTATTGGAAGAAGTGTTAATTCTACCTTCATTACATTGGTCCCCAAAAAAGACCGCTCAATTAAGTTAAGGATTTTAGGCCTATCAGTTTAATCTGTATAAAGTTATCACTAAAGTGCTATCTAGAAGACTTAGTGAGGTGTTGGGAGACACAATAGCCATGACTCAGAGTGCTTTTGTTCAAGGAAGACAAAAGCAAACTGGATTTTGATAGAGTTTATGATTGAATAAATTGGAATTTTTTGGATGATGTGACGGGTTAAAAAGACTTTGGAGAAAGGTGGAGAAAGTGGATAAGGGGTTGTTTCTCCTCTTCTACTTTCTCTGTGATGGTGAATGGTGAGCCTGGGGAGTAATTTAATGCTTTGAGGGGCTTAAGGCAAAGGATTCTCTATCTCCTTTTATTTTCACTATGGTGGTGAATTTGTTGAGTAGGAAGATTAGTAGAGTAGAAGAGGTAGGATTGGTAACGATTGAGAGTGGGTGGTGAGGATGTTCCTGTGTCACATTTACAATTTGCTAATGACACTATCTTTTTTCTATATGAGGAGTGTTTTCAGAATATTTTATCTCTGATAGAAATTTTTGATAAAATTACTGGTTTGAGGGTGAATATGTCTAAAAGTGGAGTCATAGGCATTAATTTGGATAAGTATGTTATCAAAAATTTTGCTTAAGAGGCAGGTTGTGCTGTTAATGAGTGGCCTTTACTTTATTTAGGATTACCATTAGGGGGAACCCAAGGACAATGTCTTTACTGGGATTCAGAGGTAGAAAGAATGAACAAAAAATTTGATGGTCGGAAGAGGAAATATTTTACTCTTGGAGGAAGAATTTCTTTGATAAAAGCTTGTTTGACTAGCATGCCCTTATACTATTTGTCTCTATTTAGAATTCTTGTAGCAATAACTAGGAATTTAGAAAAGATGATGAGGAATTTTCTTTGGTTTGGGATGAGAAATATTAAGCGGGATCATTTATTGTGTTGGGAGACAATTTGTAAGCCTATAGACAAAGGGCGATTGGGATTTGGTAATTTGGTGTTTAAAAACATTTCTTTGGTAGGTAAATGGTTACAGAGGTTCTTTTTAGAACTCCCTTTGACATAAGGTAATCAGGACTAAGTATGACAATCAGAGGAATGGATGGGATACTAAATCAGCACAAACTATAACCTCAATGAGTCCTTGAAAATTCATTTCACAAGTTTACCCATTTCTTCCTTTGACTCGGTATAAAGTTGGAGTGGGTTCCAAAGTTCTATTTTGAGAATATAGATGGGTTGGGGATTCATCTTTTATTAATATTTTTCCACGTCTCTATCGTTTGTCCTTACTACATGAGGCTCCTATATCTTATTTTATTGTTGGAAAGCTAAAGTTCCCTCGAAAAAAAAGGCTTTTGTTTGGTATGTTGTCCTAAATCGGGTTAATACTAACGATTTGTTGTAGATACGAAGACGTTACAAAACTAAGTCCTAATATTTGTCTTGTTTCAGAAGTGAAGATTCTACTGCTCATCTTTTCATTGTGTTCATTTGCATGGGGTTTGTGGAATACGTGGAATACTTTGTTCTAGGTGACTGGTGAGGATTGGATTTGTCCACCTATTGTAGAAAAGATGTTGCAAATCAAGTTTTGGGATTTGGGGAATAAGAAGCAAGCAAAGGTATTATGGAATTGTGCGATCATGACAACTCTTTGGTGTATTTAGATGGAAATAAATAATAGAATTTTCAATAATCATCTTCTAGTAAAATTAGAATGAAAAAGAATTACTTACATGACTTCACTTTGGTCTAAAGATTTTGGGAGTTTTGGAAAAAGAATTGTTTACATGACTTACACTTTAGTCTAGAGCTTCCAGAAGCTTTGGAGGCTTGTCTTTGTCCAATCTCCAACAAAATTGGAAGGCGTCGTTATCTTAGCTTTCATTGTGAATGTTTCATTGATATGTTTTTTGTATTTTCTTTTTATTTTAGAGGCTATCTTATCCTTCATATTATAATTTGTTTTCTTCTTCTTCCATTCTATAATAAAATTATTCTCTTATCAAAAAAAAAAAAAGATCACCTTGTTTCAATCCTCTAAAAGCCTTAAATCTACCCCTAGGTTTTCCTTTCATCATAACAGTAGGGCAAGTCTCTTACTCATTTTAATTTTTCAGTGTGCATGTATGTCTATTTGTTTGTTAATGTTACTAGGATCGTGGGTCGCTTTAGTACGTGATATATTTGTGCTATATGTTCCAAAGTGAATCGATTTAAGATTAATATTATAAATTAAAATTGTACATTTTGGTGATTTGGATCACGAACCCACCCTGTTTAGAATCCATGTAATGAGATTGTGTGCAATTAGGAGTTAAGAGAATTTTGGTAACTACTTGGTCCCATGTGTGAGTCCAAGTCCCACACGAGGAAGAATAAGAGAGATTATATCCAAATGATTATGGTTGTGCATGGTTTTTTGTTGAAGGGCCTTTCCACACTTCGTCAATTGATTTTAAGTTGGATACTCTAAGAATATACATGTGATTGAAGCGAAGTTTTGTATTAGTGACCAATTAAGTATTTGATTGGAGTGGGGCTTGTTTTAAGGCTTTTTGTTGGTAACTTAAGATTAAATGTGAAAAAATACAAAAAAGGAAAAAAATTCTTGATAGTGGTAAGTTTCTTACTCAATTGAATTTTGTGGTTTGCATGTTTGTCCATTTGTTTTTTGGTTACATGTGTGAATCCACATCACACGAGGAATGTAAAGAGAGATAGCATCCTACCTCGAATGATTATGGGCATCTAAGGTTGGTATAAGGTTGAATGCATGGTTCAAAATCATGACATCGGTCATCTGAGTCACATCAGTCGCAACGGATACACACAAAATAATAGATAGAAGGTACAAAAAAAATTTTAAAAATTATTAAATTTTTTTACAAATTTTATGCACCATATGATTGAAATACATCAAATTAATACATTAAATATTGAGAAAATTAAATTTCAGGTGCTACCAGAAATTAGAAAAATACAAGAAGTAAATATGTCTTTAAGTCTTAAGTAGATATATTTTGTATAAAATAAATATGTTTCAAGTGTTAAAGACATTTTTTTTGTCATACATTTATTTAAGTCTTGAGTATATATATTTTGTCTAAAATAAGTTATTAAAGTATGCTCATGTTAAAGATGTTTTTTTTTGTCATAACTCATAAGTGTCAAAGACTTTTTTTTGTTGGGTAGGTAATAAGTGTCAAAGACTTAAGTTAACCAAAAAATATAAAGCAAATCCAAAAATAAACTAAAAAGACTCTTTAATTGATGAAAACGTCTTTTGACTCTTTCCGTGGGGTTCGTCTACACAAACACAGAGAGAAAGAGAGAGAGCTCGCATCATGGATCGCTGGTTCCTACGCGAAGAAGAAAAAGAAGAAGAAGAAAGAGAAGAGGAAAAGGAACAGAGGACGAAGACTGCTATAGCTTTTGATCTATATACTGTCAATTTCTTCTTCTTCTAATGTCTAACTGCTCCGTTTCTAAGAGATTTGATCAATATTGTTGTGGGTTTTGGCCTTTTCTTATATTTCTTGTCCTTTTTATGTTTTTTTTTTTTGTCCAACTCGGCCAATAGTTCAATCCCTTGTTAAAGGGCCGCTCTACTCTTTACCAATTGGTCTTAGATGACTCTAAGAATATACATGTGATTAAAGTGAAGTTTTGTATTTCTTTTAGTAGTGACCAGTCGTATCATATTTTTGACTGAAGGCAACTATTCTTAATTAAGGCTGGGTGTGAAAAAATACAAATGGGGCAGGAACTCTTGAGTCTTGATATTGTGGGTGTAACGAGGAAGGAGACTTAGAAGCCTTTGTGTGGCGCCTATGTTTTGGGTTATTTGGAAACACGTGTGAGAGAAGAAGAGAGAAGAGAGAAGAGAGAAGAGAGAAGGGAGAAATAGATCATGGCAGAGAGGAAAAACCCAGAGAGGTTTACTTCACTGCAAAATCAAGTGGTGCAAAGTACCATTCTGGGAAAATTTGAGAGGTTTGTTCATGATGTCTGGATGTTGATATTTGTTGGCCTTGATTGAGTTTAAGCTATGTAGATTGCCTCACTAAATGTTTTTGTCTTTTCATATCTCTTTGTAAGGTGTGTATTGCTATCATATTAATGTTGTAATATTATTTTTGCTACTATAATAACTCTGAAAATTCCCTTGAATTTCTATTTGATGCGTTCTTGCAAGGTATGTGCTGCAGTAGTATGCCACGAATTGTGCTCGGTATGTTACAAGACAGACCAGGTATGAAGCCACGAGTTTTTGAACTTGAACTATTGAGTATTGTGTTATTTATGAAATGTCTTTGTAAAATCATTTTTTTTAATTACATGCTTCTCCAATTGATAGTTGGTCATTCATTTGCCGTTTGATATCTCACCTTCAGTATATTGAGATTTAACCCTCTTATAGGGCTGTCAAGCCCACCCAAAGTATCCTCTAAAATGCTGGTTGATTTAGCAGGAAAAGCCACTAGAGGATCAAATTAATTGAAGAACAAGAAATTGCCAATTATTAATCATTTTCTCTACGTTCACAATGTCTTTGTAAAATCATTTTTTTTTTAATTACATGCTTCTGCAGTTGATAGTTTGTCAGTCATTTGCCTTTTGATATCTCATCTTCAGTATATTGAGATTTAACCCACTTATAGGGCTGTCAAGCCCACCTAAAGTATCTTCTAAAATGCGGGTTGATTTAGCAGGAAAAGCCACTAGAGGATCAAATTAATTGAAGAACAAGAAATTGCCAATTATTACTCATTTTTTCTACTTTCACAATGTTTGGTGATTTGCATTGTGGAAATTTTTTTAGTGTCAGGATATTTTATTTATTAAATATAAATATTGAGGGACATGTCCCAACTTCCATAGTTCCTTGGTTTGGCCTCCTGCAGTTGTCCTTGCTTTCAAGAAAGCTAAGTGGGGCCAATTTTTTTTTCTTGGGGAAAATTGATTGTAATCTAGTTCATGCTCTGGACCAAAGGGGGCTAGGTTTAGGGCGTGACCGTCCATTTGTGAGGGTTCAGCTAATTATATTGCCAATCTAAAGACAATAAATAATCGTACAGTCTAAAAGTAGGATATACCCAACACATATTCTATTAGGAACTTGAGACCACTTTCTCATCCTAGAGTCTCTTGAAATGAAACTTTATGGTTTTACGTCCAATGAGGATTAGAAAATGTCAATAAAAACAGAAGTATTTTTAGTTTGTGATTCACATCATATGCACAAAAACTGAAACTAGTTAAGTTGAAATAATAGTAGGTTATCACCTGTATAATGGGCTGCAAAAAAGTAGGGTCAAAATTCTCAGAAGATTGCAGAAGCACCCATATCCTCAGAACTTGTTCTCTAAGCTCCATCATGCTTTCTTGTTCAGTATTGCTCATTACTAAAAGTCCAGTTTCATTGCCGTTGAATATAAGAGTCCTCATAAGACCAGGAATAGAGTTGTATGTACCAATGACCGAGCCCAAAATGATAGCTTCGGTGACACGGACAGCCTCCTTAATAACTAAAGCCCTAAGTTCTTCACCATCCGGACCCAACAACAACTTCAGGACAGGTTGCAAAGCATCCTTAGCAGAAAAGTCTCTATCCTTTTTCCCTTGGACGAGCAGGTTTTCAAGTCTATTCCATCTGCAGCAAAGCAAGAGTAAGAGCTTTTGAATGCCAATGACACAGGACTGGAATAAATAATCCCATTCAAATTGAAGAATATAAAATTGATAAAGTAATACATGCCTGAACCTCCCATCCTTAAAAAGTAACTCAATAAGAGCATCTCTGAGATACGGATTTGGATCTGTAAGAAGCCTTTTAGCGAAATATGGATAGGAAGCAGCCAACACCTTAAAATTAGGATCAGCATACAGGGCTAAACCTTCTAGAACAGTAAGCGACCTCAATATCAATGCATAATAAGCTGGCACTGAAAGCAATGGATCAGTCCAAGCAGCAAGGTTAGATGTATAGCGGGAATTATAATTATCCATATAAGGAAAACCCCAGTTTTCTAGGGTTTGATGTGAAAAAGAGTTGCTAGATGAATTGCTGAATCTATCTGCACTGATAAATATGGGCCCCATTGGCCAAGTCTGCCATACAACTTAAAGATTAAACATCATCCAAATGTCAAAAATAGCCATTGCGTTCAATAATGAATAAGCATAGAAGCATCTCACCGTTAAATGGATATTGATACAGAACAGCACCCAGACCATCCACCAGCGTTTTGAAGTTGAGTTCGCTCACAGTTGAATTGAGTGCATCATCAAAGAAGTTCCGAAGTGCTGGTACAATAGGAGAAACATCTACATCAGGGGACAAAAAATCTAAAGCATAGTAATCACGAGCCATAGCTTCATAGTCCCGGTTAACCATGTGAACAACATGACCAATTATAGCAAATCTTGCTTCTTCTGGGGTTTCACTCATCATTCCAAAATCTAGAAAGGCAAGCTTTCCCTCAGGTGTCGCTAACAGATTACCAGGATGAGGATCTGCATGAAAGTACCCATACTCAAGCAACTGTCTTAGACTGCACTGAATACCAGTGTTTACCAGATCCAAAACTCTCAAACCTTGTCTCTCAATGGCATCTTGCTCATTTAATTTGACACCTTCAACCCACTCCATCGTCAATACTTTCCCGCTAGTGTAATCCCATATTATATCTGGGACAAGGACATCTTGTTTGTCAGCATACAACTTTTTAAACCTCCTTGCGTTCTGCCCCTCCTGCATAGACCTGTCAAAATTAACATTCAAACAAAGAGGATTTCCGTACAAGATACCAAAGGTATAGTTCTCTAAACTCAGATTTAAACAAATGAATCTACATGCAAATGTTTCAGATATGAAAGCATGGAATGAATGATAATGAATCCAACCTGAACGTAATTGAGCTCTTGATAAACTCGACGAGCAAATTCATCAATAAGAGCAACAACATCACTGGAAACTATGTCAACATATTTATTTATGAGGAATCCGAGACCCCTTATCAGGTAAAAGTCTAGTCCTATGGCTTCTTCAATACCAGGCCGTTGTACCTTCACAGCAACAACCTGCCCAGAGTACTTCAGCTGGGCTTTGTAAACTTGACCTAGACTAGCTGCAGCAATTGGAGATGCAGATATTGAAGAGTAGATGGAGTCAAGCGAGAGTCCTAACTCTTTTTCAATACATGAAAATGCCTCTGCATTGGGAAATGTCGGCAAAGCATCCTGCTCGATCATAAAATAGCAATCTAAGCATCAAACTTTTACTTTCAACAGGTACGATAAAAAGCTATAACAATGCCATGTTTTCACCACAGCACTCTTAAGTTAAGGGAAAATACAGCATACATGGTCGAACATCCTGGGAAAAATAAAATTATGCACAATGTGGCAGCTACCGCAAAATGTGGGAGTACCCAGCAAGGAGAAAGGGTTTGATCTTTGAAGGGTATAGCCATAGCAACACAGGTGTATATGCGAGGAGCATAGAAATAACAAGGAAATACCTGTAGTTGTGAGAGCTCTTCGAGGTACTCAGGTGGACACAGATCGGGCCTGGTGGACAATCCCTGGCCTATTTTGACAAAAGTAGGCCCCAATGTCGTGAAAACATTCCTCAGCTCAACGGCTCGCAATCTCTTGTTCTGATCGAGCTGGCCGTTTAACTCGTCCCGCCACAGTTTGAAGGCAAATGAGCCGAGGGAAATAAGAATTTCGAGAGTCCTTCGCAGTGCCTGGCAAAAAAAGCCACGCCGGAGTGAAATTAGAGTAAAACCCGAAAGTAAAGGAGCTGAGGGAAGATGGATACCTTAATGGGGCGCGAGCCGTATTTGCTGAAAAGAAGTTCGGGGCTGTAGACAGTCGCATTGACGGCACGGGCCATGGCCCTCGCCTCCGCTTGCATATCGTCGGCCCGATCCCTGAAAGAAGGAACAGAGGAGTCCCCTCCCGGTCGCAGAACTGGAATGGAACCATTATTGCCGCCATTACCCTCTCTAATTGCAGGCACGGATTGAGGTCTCGCCTCCACAAGCGCCGCTCGTTGTGGTATCGCTCTCAGTTGTCTCCTTCGTTTACACGGAACCTTCGGCCTCGAAATCGTTATCGCACCCACAGAAGACAACAAAGCGAAGGAAGAAGCGGCGGTTGATGACAGTGCAGGAGTACTCATGGCCAGGGTTCCAGTAACGGCAAGCCAATTGGGAATGACCGAGGGACGGGGAAGGTAAGAAAGAAAAACATTGAGGAGTTTTATGGAAGAAGAGAGTTCGTGTGTGTCTGCTTCGTGTCAGGTGGCGCTCCACAATCCACTCCACGAGTAAAGATTAAATCCAACTAGATGTAAACGAAGGACTGTCATGTGCCGCTCCTAAATTAATGATTAACGGTATTCGACCTAATTTATTAATATAATTTATTTTAATTTTTAAATTTATTGTAAGTCTCGTTAAATATTAGAACTTGATCAATAAATTAATTCTCAATAAAATTACTCAAATTAATATGAGAAGAAAATGAGTTGAATAATAAGACTCATTTTAATTAAGTAAATAAAAATTATTAAATAAAGAAATTAATATATTAAAAAATATATACACATACTAATATATTAAAAATAAACACACACAATAATACATTAAAGGGTAAATTGCACCAATGGTCCGTAATATTTACCACTTCTTGCACTTTAGTCTTTAAGTTTTAATTTCATCAATTTTGTCTTCAAAGTTCAAATATTGAATCAGTCTTGACACTAATTGCCGTTAAAAGAAAAAAGAGACAAAAATTACCATGTGCATGTCAGGTGTATCCAAAACACGCAAAACTGTCTTTTCTCGTGCAAAATACATTTTCTCATTTCTCATCCAAATCACGACAAATCTATGACATGTTTGCTCCTATCTCTCTATGTATCTTTTTTTCAAGATCTGTTCCTTTCTCTATTTCTCTCAAGACATGTTCGGCGAGAGAATAGGGATGACCTATGTTTTCATTGTAAAAATTCATTCCCCAATTTCTCATCCCTCCGCTAAATTAAACCTAATCTCTGTATCAATTTCCCAATTTTTGTATCTCTGAATGCTTCTCTACATTGCATGAAGCCATCGATTTGATCTCACCACTATAGATCACAACCTTGAGATTCTCTCTTTCTTAACACACAGGCACACGACCCTAGCCTTATTTGTGAGCCACAATCATAGGATTGGTAGGGCTGCAATTTGGGTGAGCTAATTCGATTTAACTCGAATTCAACCCAAAAAAAAATTAGAATTTAGACAAATTTTTTTAATATTTTGGTTGAATTTAGGTTAAAAAATTATAACCCGAATTTAATTAGACAGACCTTGGGTTGAGGCATCAGATCCACAGCTTGAACCCAAATATTAATAATTGGAAATCGAATTTAACCCAAATTAATAACTATAAAAAATAATTTTAAAATTTTAACCCTAACCCTAATCTACGCCTCCGTCTCCCTCACTCTCAGTCTCAGTCTGTCTTACTCTCCCTCTCACTCTCTCTCTCGCTTTCAGATCCCTCATCCTTTTTTCTGAACACAAAGCCATGAATTCAGGTAATAGTAGTAGTATGCAATCATCAAGTGGTGGTGATGAAGAACATGATTCAAGGATTGAATCGATCACTATTTTCTTAAACCGTTCAAGCCACCCATCGACGCCGCAATCTCTTCGTCACCTCCACCGTCAATCAGCCACTTTGGTTGATCCTCCACTACCTACTCTTGATGTCTTCTCACAATCACTACCAAACCCAGAAGCAAAATTCCTTATACAATCTCAATTTTAAAGTGCTCCAGGGTTTAGGGTTTAGGGTTTAGGGTTTTAGGGTTTAGGGTTTAGGGTTTAGGGTTTAGAATTTAGGGTTTTGGGTTTTGGGTTTAGGGTTTAGGGTTTTAGGGTTTTGGGTTTAGGATTTGGGTTTTGGGTTTAGGGTTTAGGGTTTAGGGTTTAGGGTTTTAGGGTTTAGGGGTTTAGGGGTTAGGGTTTAGGGTTTAGGGTTTTAGGGTTTTAGGGTTTAGGGTTTAGAGTTTAGAGTTTAGGGTTTTAGGGTTTAGGGTTTAGGGTTTAGGAGCAGTTATTTCATTCTTTTCTCAGATCTTCTTGTTTCCCATCTGTTTCTTCACTAAATTGCTGCAAAATCTTTGATTCTCCTGTGGTATTGATTGATTTAGCATGGTTTTAGCCCAAGAACATCATCAAATCCCCCCCAAACCTCCAGACATTACCAAAAACTTTGCCTCTTTGTTCAAGAAATCTGCTCCGACAGATAATGTTCCAACAATTCCTATTACTTCAGAATTTAATTCCTTAACAATTGTAGATCCTTTGGGAGGGAATAATACCATCTCTATGCCTCTTATTTCTTAAGTGAATCAGACTAAGCCGACTGTTCGTCTGGCCTCTGTTCTTCCTGCGACTGTATCGACTGTTACAAATAATCAGAGTTCTTCAGCTGGGATAGGAAGTCATGTTCCTATTGAATCTGTCATTGATAGAAACATACAGAGAGTGTTTATGAATCCTCAACCTTCTTTAATTCCCCAATCCATTTTGGAAACTCATGAATCCTCGATGGATCGAAACCTGCCTAAATCGCAATTACCTGCTCCTGAGAAAGATATTCAGATTCCAGTAGTCATTTCGAATTCTCAAAATCCTTCTGGTAGTCAAGTTCCTGCTTCTAATATTGTTTTTGGTTCCTTAAATTTTGTGAATTCTCCTAAAACTGCTAAGAGGGTAGTCTTTAACAAAGGGGAGCCTGGGATGTATTGGTCCCCTAATGAAACCTTGGAACTTTCTAAAGGTTTTTGTCAAACACTTATTGGCAAATGTGCCTATGGTAAACCTTCTCTGGGTGTGGTGAAAGAATTTATCAAGTCTCGGTGGCTTCTGAAAGGAGATTTCTCTGTAAGAGTATTAGATCAGAGGCATGTACTGATCAGATTTTCTCTCTATGAGGACTATGTTAAAGTGTGGTTGAAGGATACCACATACATTGAGGGCTACCTCTTCAGGTTTTTTAAGTGGTTTCTAGAATTTTATTCTGGGATTGAGCCACCTATTGTACCTGTATGGGTGTCCTTACCTGGTCTTCCAATCCATTTATTTAATAGAGAGAGTCTGAGATATATTTTAAGTCCAATAGGCAGAATTCTGGTGATAGATAATGCTACTCTGAGCCTTTCTAGACATGGGGTAGCCAGGGCCTGTGTTGAAATGAACCTACTAATCAACAATCCTAAGAGATTCTGGTTAGATATGGGGGGTGTTAGTGGCAGGTGGCAGAAGATAGTGTATGAAAAAGAGTACAGGTACTGTCCTGCTTGTCTTAAGCAGGGGCATGATGAAGTGCAGTGCAGAAGGAAGAAGAAAGTGGAAGATGATATCTCTGAAAATAAGCAGAAGGCTGGGAATAATCTTCCTCAGGATGAGGAGTGGAAGAAGAGAAAAGGCAAAGCTATGGCTACAGAAGGACTGAGAGGACAGTCTAGAAAGGAATATAGACAGAAATCTAATCCTCAAACTACTGCTGTGGGGAATAGTTTTTCTGTTTTAAATGAGGAGATTGTTGTAGAAGAGCAAGATATTGGGAAGGAAATGGCTCTGAAAGGTCAGGAAATAATCCCTGACAAGGTCACTGATAATGAAGGATCTCCTTCTATTCAGGAGATGGGTATTGGATCTGTTGAAATACAGGGGGATGTTGTTAGAAAGGATACTGTAATTCTTGATAACCCTCAGGGAAGCTCTGAATGTGGTACTCAAGGAGTTGGTAATGCTAATAATGCTGATATCAGATTGGAGGGAATACAACAAGAGAACAACCCAGAAGTAACTAATGTTTCTGAATCTAGGAATCAAATTCCCATAAATACATCTACTGTGGGGGCTACTTTGGAGGTAAATTCCTTTTACTCCCCTACTCCATCTCCTGTTAATGAGGAGGTCAATGTTGGAGTTTCTGTTATTGATGGTATTAATAATGACAATATGGTGGTTAATGAAAATATGGAGGTATTGGGAGAATGTAGGAATTTTTATGCTCCATCAATGGATTCATCTTTTCTTTTGGACCATGGATTTGTTGTTAGGCAAGGAAGCCATAATTCTTTAGATGACCAGTCTGGTTTGGTAAGGATGAAAGACCCTCCAGATAAGGGTTATTTTTCAGATCAGGCTAGCTCTAGATCTCAGAGAATTGTAATTGTTGAATCTGATAACTCTGGGAGTTCTTTTGAAGAAGAGGATGAGGGTAATGGACTTAGTTCTAGTAAAGTTCCATCTTCTATGAATTTATGATTAATCTTCTATCATGGAATATGAGAGGGGCAGGTAAGGATGCCAAGAGGAGGAGATTAAAGAAGCTTATTAAATTGCATGATGTTTGTCTTGTTGCAGTTCAAGAGCCTAAATTACTGATTTCTAAATTGGTTCCTTTTGCTAGGAGTATTGGTCTAGAGCACTTCTGTTCTAATGCTCTTGCAGAAAGGAAAATTTGGATTTTATGGGATGAGAGAATCAAGTTGAGGATCTTATTTGAGCATGATCAAGTATTGATTGTGGAAATAACTTTTCTGAATTCAATTATTTTTTGGATCTCAATTGTGTATGCTAGTTGTGATCTTTTTACAAGAAGGCTTTTATGGGATCATTTGTTGGGAATTGATGTTCCTTCTGATGTTCCTTGGATGGTGGTTGGTGACTTCAATTCAATCCTATCTTCTGATGAAAGATTGGGGGGAGCCCCTCCTTCTTTGCTGTCTATAGAGGATTTTGGTGACTTTTTAAATCATAGGGGTTTGTTGGATGCTGATTTTGTGGGAAATAAATTTACCTGGTGTGATAACAGGAATGGGGGTATCAGAATGAAGCAGAGGTTGGACAGAGCTCTGATTAATGCTTGCTGGAATTTGGAATTTGATAGTATGGAAGTGGCTCATTTAGCAAGGGGCTCTTCTGATCATAGCCCTTTATTGATGAAAATTATGGATGCTCCTGTACAGAAAAGAATTTCTTATTTTAGATTTCAAGACATGTGGTGTGATCATGAGGGATTTCTTGATCTGATTAAAGCAAATTGGGGGGGGGGGACCTATTCAGATAATCCAATGTCAAATTTGTTCATCAAGATGAAATACTTGAAGGC